CTTGAGCTTACGAGTTCAAGACCAACCTGAGCAAAAAGTGAGACCCCCATCTCTACTAAAAATAGAAAAAACTGAGGCAAGAGGATCACTTGAGCCCAGAATTGGAGGTTCCTGTGAGCGATGATGATGTCACTGCACTCTGCCCAGGGGACAGCTTGAGACTCTGTCTCAAAAAAAAAAAAAAAAGAAATTTGCTCAGTGGATAGGGCACCAGCCCCATATACTGAGGGTGGCAGGTTCAAAAACCCGGTCCCAGCCAAACCACAACAAAAAATAACCGGGCGTTGTGGTGGGTACCTGTAGTCCCAGCTATTCGGGAGGCTGAGGTGAGAGAATCGCCTAAGGCCAGGAGTTGGAGGTTGCTGTGAGACCTGGGGTCAATAAAGTGAGACTCTGTCTCTACCAAAAAAAAAAATTCAAATATTATATTTTGCTTTCCTAGAACTTCCTGGTTTTTATTTCCATTTTTACTTTTTATTGAGATTTTTCTAGGTTTTTATTTATTGTAAAGATTTTTTTATATACTTGGGGGAATTTATAATTCCTACTTTAAAATACTTGACAATTTTCTTCAACATCTGCATCAATTTATGGTTGGTCACTTTTGATTGTTTTGGAGTGAGTTACATTTTTCTGAATCTTTGTATGATGAATAATTTTTAATTGTATCCTGGACATTGTGAGTACTACGCAGTAGAGACCTTGGATTTTATTATATTCCGCTGCAGAATGTTGAGTTTTTTATTTTTTTCCGTTAGCAGGTATTTAACTTGGTTTGAGTCAAATTGCCGACTTTGCTTATTAGAACCTCAGTTTAATTCTTCTGTCCTTAGCTGTTGTCTGTTTTGAAATGTGTAGCTCAGAGATCAGACAAAACTTTGAACAGAGTTTATGCACAGAATTTAGGCTCTGCCTCTCTGGCTTTCTCTGTCTGACATTCCCTCCTCACTTTCTGCTGACCGTAGTTGTCCCAAACTCTGTCCTCTGTTCTTCCAAGCTGGAAAGACTATGTTTTTCTATTGGTGATACGGCCACTTTCTAAAGGTGCCAACTTTTGCCTGGATCAGGGTAAGGCAACATAAGGGAAGCTCATCTTTTGCTATTTTTATTTTCCAAGTATGGACTTTCCTCCAGAATCTTGTTTATTCTCCAGGACCCTCAAATCCTTGTTGATTTTTTTGCTTGTTTATGTTGTTTTGTATTTTGTCTGGATTTCATAGATGTTATATGCGGAAAAGTCAGATTTTATAGGATTTATTCAGCCATCGTGGAAGTGGAATACACGTATATATACACTTAGGAGGAATTCGGTATATCTCCTTCCCTGCCTGCTTCTGTAAAATTCTTTTTGTGTACCTATATCGGTCAGCACACGCAGCATGATTCAATCCATCAACAACACATAGGATTGTTTGGGGAGTTGAAAAGTTTTGCATACGTGGTATCATGCTTTATTTTTGGTTTTGCAACTTTCCCCCCACTCATTGTAATATTTTGAGATCTAACCATGTTGATAAAATGTACATATTCTTCCTCGTTTTAACTGCAGGACACTCTTCGGTCTTATGGATATACCCTCAATTTATTTGTCTTTTCTTCTAGTGATTGCTGTTTGGGCTGCATCTAGTTACTTTGTCTGACAACAGTGGTTGTGGTAATATTCTTTACCTGTGCGTTTGGTTATTTTCCTGGACAGACAATGCTTTGACTTCACCAGTTTGATCAGTTGCTCTCCGAAGTGATTGCAGCAATGTGTGTCCTACCAGCAGCCTGTGAGAGCCCGTTCCTCAGATACTAACGACGGTTATCTATGGACAATAACATTTCAATTGATTTTTATCTCCTTTTTTACTACTCTGTTACTGAATTGTTTTTCCCTGAGCAGTTTTTGTTTTTATAACAAAAAGTAAAGGTTTTGTTCCCAAACCAACAGCAGAGCCTGCTCTTTCTTACTCCCCCACCAGCCCAGCAAAGTATATCACCCTTAGTTGCCTGTGTATCTCAAGCCAAAAAACTGGGAGGAGCTAAAACTGCTTCAGTTTAGGGGTTTGTTTTGTTTTGTAACAGTCTTTCTGTCACCCTGGGTAGAGTGCAGTGGCGTCATCATAGCTCATAACAACCTCAAACTCCTGGGCTCAAGTGATCCTCCTGCCTTAGCCTCCTGAGTAGCTGGGACTACAGGTGTGCACCACCGTGCCTCGCTAAGTTTTCTACTTTTTGTAGAGACAGAGTCTCATTCTTGCTGGTCTTGAACTCTAACCTCAAGTGATCCTCCCATCTTAGCCTCCCAGAGTGCTAGGATTACAGGCATGAGCCACAGTGCCTGGCCCGCTTTAGTCCTTAATTATATGTACTTGTGCATTTATTTTCTTGTATTCTCCTCAACTAGTGGCAAGCCCCTGGAGGGCGGGAATGATACTTCACTCACCTCTAACTGTGAGACTTGCACTGCCTGGCACAGGGTTCCCAGGGAACCGCAGCGTGGATACTACCTTCCCTATCACACCAGGGAGAAAATGCTGGAAAACTTACCCAAGTCTCACACCCAACCTCGGGACAGAAAGCCTTGCTGTGCCTTCCAACTTTTAACTCCCCCTCCTGGACTAAGACTTGCCAGGGGTCCCCTGGCTGTTAGTCTCTGCTGAAGCGGGGTGCCCAGCCTTGCCCCTCTGGTGGCGGTAGCCTGGCTCCTCAGGGTAGATGGACTGCTGGGTCTGCTGCAGACTTGATGCCCGGACAGGATTCAGTCATCCATTGTGGATGTCAGTTACAAGTTCTGGGCAGCCTGCCTAATCTCTGGAGTCACTTAAAATCTCTGTCGTTACTGCAGAAGTGAATGTTTGGACAATTTATTCTGTGTTCCCTGTCAATAGAGACGCCCTGGAGTCCTCATTTCGGCATCGAGTTTCATTGTTTTAAGCTGAATCGCGCCAATGTGCTCCCAACACATTATCACCGTAATCGCTTTCTTTTGCTGTGGAAATGATCGGGAAATTGTGCTTTGATACAAGGAAAGGGTGACAAGGCCATGCAGTGCTAAGCTAGGATTCCACAATTATCGTTTGTAAAAGGGGAATAGTTATCAAAGAAGCCGCAGGAGAACATCTCGGGGCCACCTCTCAGAGTCAGAAAATTTGAAACATATATTTCACAGACGTACATTTCGCTGTAAACCTCTCTGCATAATGCATGAGATTCGATTTAATGTCATTGTTAATTCTGGTGCTCACAATGGTGCACTCTTAAGGGAGCCATCATTTTTATTTCAGTTTTTTTTTTTTTTTTTTTTTTCTGGCAACAGAAATCTGAGGCCGTTTTAGGGTTGCTCTGAATTATGTGAGCACAGATGCCTTCCTGGGGCGGGGGTACAGATGCTTGGCACTGTCAAGAGGCTGTGGCGGGGGAGACAGGCAGCCGAGGGTCCTGGGAGCCCACTCGGGCCAGGCCTGGGCTTTCTGTGCCTGGCTGTGGTGGGTCAGAGCTGGAGAGTTGTGTCTTAAAAAGAAATAATGAATGCGTGAATGAAAAGGAGGCTTTGCAGCAGAATAGAAATGAAACCATTTTGATTTTCAAGATCAGTTTTAATCAATTTGCAAGACGTACAAAAGAACTACTCTGGCCTGGGTTGGCTGGGAGCGACAGAAAGCTAGAAAGATCAGAAACAGCAGAGAGCGTATGAAGGAGGGGTGGGAAGGGAAACGTGAATGGAGGAACGGGGAAGACGGAGACAGACCTGGGACCAGATGCTCGGAGGAAGAGCTGGGGGAAGAGTCCAGAATACAGCATGAGGGCAGCAGGCCCCAGCGGCTCCTCTGAAAGCCCAGGGCTCGGGGCTGGCACCCTCACAGTCTTGCCCCAGAGGCCTGGGACAGTGAGGGCATGAGCTGTGGTCCCCCAGCTGGGTGGGGGCTGGTGCTTCTCAATGACATCCTGGGCCTCTAGCCTCTGTGCACTGCAGGGACATGTACAAACCAGTCCCCTCTGCGTAGGGCAACTTGCTGCTGCCTCAGAGCTGCACCCAGCAGGCCTTACAGCACTGCAGAGCGAAGGGCCGTCTGGGAGGAACAAAACCTACTTGAACTCAGAGATCTATGTGGCTGTGGTGCAATCAAGAAGTGTCCAGGGCACCGTGTGGCAGCAGATTAATCTTCCATGTCCTCACTGGTTGTCACTCATCTGTGTTCACCTGGGAAACAGGCACAGAGGTCAGATGTGCTTGGCGTCATGGCACAGGAATGCACCAGACCTTGTGGTTTCAGGGCTGTTGGCAGAGCTGGAAGGGAGCCTGCCCACAGTACAGGTGGGAACCCCGAGGCCCAGGAGCCTCGCCATGGCTCCCACAGCCCCGGGGAGCAGTGGGTTGCACAAGTCTGAAGCCCGGCTCTGCTGCTCGCCAGCTCCGTGACTCTGGGCCTCTGGGTCTTGTCTGTAGCTAGGAATGAGAATATCAGAGGAAGGACACACAGACGCATTCCTTGTCCCCATGTGAGTGAACCCCCTTCCAAAGGCTGAAAGAACTGCCCAGCAGACCCATGGGCTCGTGGGCAGTAATAAGTAGCTGTTGTTTCCAGTTGCTGGTTTGAGTGGTTTGCTACACGGTGTTGCAGCAGCAGGTGACAGGTATAAGGCCTTGGCCCATATATTCCCATTTTTAGCTACGCCACGTTGGATTATGATCCAAAAGAATCATTCTAGCCAGGGCATGGTGGCTCACACCCATAATCCTTCAGACTTCGCAGGTCTGAGGCAAGATTGCTCGAGCCCAGGAGTTTGAGGGTAGCAAGCTGATTCCATCACTGTACTCCATTCTGGGCAACAGATTGAGAGCAAGACCCTGGCTCCAAAATAAATAAATAAATAATCTATCTTGATAGATACATTATCTTATCCCAGCCCACAGGTCAGAAACAGTGGAGAAGGGCCCAAGAATCTAAAGCGTGAAATTTTCACTAGAAGGTTCTGAGTTTGTTTAATGCCTGGTTATTTTCACAGATGGCAAGTTTATAAAAGACGCCGTGCACAGGTGATCAACTTCAGTGGCACATTTCTGGCTCTAGAGGTGTCTCCTGGCTGCTTTCAGGGGCCTCTGAGGCAGGATGGGCGTGGCACGACCTGTGGCTTGCCTGTGTGCGGGGAGGGGGCTGCCCTGCCTGCTTGCCTCCGTGGTGCCCACGGTGTGCTCCCGGGGGACCTCTTGGGCACTGAAGATCTTTTCGTAGTACTCAATCAGCAGTTCAGTGAACAGGTTCAGGGGCACAAGGGCACTCAGGGAGGACACTCCCTGGGACGGCCAGATTAGGTTCAGTCCAAAGACACAGGCCAGGTTGGAGCTGTTCATTTTGTTGAAAATGCTCTCCTGGGACACCTGGAACAGACCACATGCGACTGGGTGAGTGAAGCCAAAGGCAGCCGAGGGCTGGCATCACCTCCTACACCCCAGGAGAGACTAGTGCAGGGAGAAGAGCACTGGACTGGGAGCCAGCGGCCCGTACTGCCTCAGTTTCCCTATCTGTAAAGGGAAGGGCTTGGCCTCACTATGCTGGGGGTCCCTCTGGCTCTCACCTCTGTGACCTCCCTTCTGGGTTTCCTCAACACCCCACTGCCCCCTCTTCTATACAGTGAGCTCAGAGTCATGGCCTGTAGCACAGCTGGCTCGAGCCCAGAGACCCCTCTGACCTCCCCACTGTGATTGCTGGACTAGGCATGATGGAGACCAGCCAGCATGTGGGGATGGTTGGGAGGAGAGACAGAGCAGAAAGGGCTCCCTGCCCGTCTCAGCCAACAGCTCCAGCACCTCCAGGAAGTGCGATTCACTGCTCACTATTTTTTTTTAAGGTGGGTGGGGTCTTGCTTAGTGCCAGGCTGGCCTCAGACTTCTGGCCTCGGGTGACCCTCCCACCTTGGCCTGTAAAGTAGCTGGGACAATAGGCTTGAGCTATTGTGCTTGGCTTTATTCCTCCTCCTCTTACAGTGAGGAAACTGAGGCCCAGAGGGCACAGAAGACTTGCCCGACGTTCTGTGGTCAGCCAGTGGCAGGGGGCCACACAGGCCATCTGTGGGCATGGCCTGTTCTCGCCTCCCTACCAGATCCTCACTGGGAGGACCTGAGAGTCAGAACCAGGGATGATGCTGAGCTGCGAGGGCCAGGGGTGAGCAGGGAGCTGGGGGACAGGCGGTGCAGCTGGGTGTTGCCGCCCAGTTACCAGCACTTATCAGCCCACCCCACCAGCCCTTCAGGTGTGCACCAGCTAAGTGAACCACAGGCTACCCTCCTCTTCAGCCTCTGTTAGGGAACATGGCCTTGCTGACACCTTGATTTTGGACTTCTGGCCTCTAGAACAGTGAGATGGTAAATTTCCATTGTTTTAAGTCACTGAGCTTGTGGGCCTTTGTCCTGGCAGCCACAGGAATCTAACACACATGGCGATGTGCACCTCCCACCGGACCCTAATATACCTGGCAATGGGGCGCCTCCCATGGGAATGTCTGCTCAGCCAACCATACATCAGGACACAGCCCCCACTCCCAGAGACTCAGCCCAAGCAGGTGGCTCAGGAGCAGAGGACCCCCATAAAGAAGGTCACTGACAAAGAGAGGGATAGCCAGGCACGGGAACAGGCAGAGGCATGGGTGGCCCTGCCTGGCAGACAGGGCGTGGGGTGATCCTAGAAGCGTTGGTCCTATCCAGGCCTTGGATGGATTCTCTGGTAGCAAGGGAATGGCATCTCAGGCAGAAGGGGGGTTGTGACCCCAGACCCAAGACAGGCAGGACATGGGTTGGTGCAGGCACTGCCATGGACAGGAGGAGCCTCCAGGGCCAGGCATGGAGCCCAGACTCACCGTGTGCAGGAAGCCCATGAGGTAGCTGAGGACTATGTAGTTGTGCTCTGGGAGGCCCCGCAGGATCTGACGGCAGCAGGTGACACGCAGGCTGCTTTCCACACCTGCAATGGCACCAGACTCCTCTCTTAGGTGGCCTGAGGGCAGCACCACGCCCTCCCCCAGGAGAAGGGCACAGGTGTGGGGAAAACTCCAGGGACAGACTGTCCCATGGTCAGGTCTGGGGCCCCCATTTCCCAGCCCCATGGCTGTTCTCAGCAAACCCTCAGCTTCTGCCAACTCCATTCCTGCTCTTTACAGCTGGCAGAGTAACTAGGATCTCCCAGGAAGCTGGGAAAGCCTATAAACAGGAGTGAGATCAGCCTGCAGGTCAAAATGGGCACATTGCCTGTTTTTGTTAATAAAGTTTTATTGGAACACAGCTACAGCTAATTTGTTTGCATAATGTCTGTGGCTGTTTTTGTGTTACTACAGCAGAGTTGAATCGTTTCAATAGAGGCTATACTTACGGCCCACAAAGCCTAAAATATTTACTATTGGGCCCTTTACAAAAAGTTTGCAACCCTGCTGTAGACTACCTGTTTACAATTCTCAGACCCTGTTGCTCTTGGGGTGGTGGCCTACCCTCCAGGGGTCTGGTAACTGTCCCACGCACTGAGACCCACAGTATTGCTTATAACCACAACCTCCATTTGAGTTCTGCAACCTTCAAATCAAACCCCACCAATCAATAAGTTCTCACCAATCCCCTGCTGCAGACGTGTGTGTGCACACATATGTACACACATCCACACCCATGTAAACTGTACCATCCAGTGGTAACACTGGTGAACATTCTGTGTGCTTGACAAACTCACAGTAGAGACACAAAATTCCCTGCTGTGAAAATTCTTGCTGGCTTTTTAATAATAGCTATCATTTTATTAAAAACAAAGCTGTTCTTTGTAATAGGACACAGGTTATATTAACAAGGGTATGACTGGAGTGTTCTATTTAGGAATATGCACAGAATCAACATGACCAGAAATGTTTAAGAAACTAAGGCCGGGCTTGGCGCCTGTAGCTCAGCAACTAGGGTACCGGCCACATACACTGGAGTTGTAGGTTCGAACCCAGTCTGGGCCTGCCAAACAACAATGACATCTACAACCAAAAAGCAGCCAGGTATTGTAGCAGGCGCCTGTAGTCCCAGCTACTTGGGAGGCTGAGGCAAGAGAATCACTTGGACCCAAGAGTTTGAGGTTGCTATGAGCTGTGACGCTATGGCACCCTACCGAGGGCAACTAGTGAGACTGTCTCAAAAAATAAAAATTAGAAAAAATAAAGAAACTAAGGCTGAGTTTAAAGAGCCAAACAAAGGCCCTGGAAACCAACCAGCCTGCTCCCTGTCTGCCTCTTATCAGGTCTTGACTGGAAGGAACGGTAAATTCTCCAGGAAGCACCAAGCTTCCTCAGGAAGGAACCTACAGAGGCTGAAGGGGCAAATGAAATCTGGAAATTTCTCTTTAGGACAGAGCCTATCACATTCAGGTTGGTGGGACTGTTGTCCATCCTGCCTGCTTATCCATCCCTACACTGGGCCAGGCCATTGGGTGGACAGGCCCCTGATCTGCATCCACTGGGTAACTGCCTCTGTGCGTGTGACTAGCTCTGTCTCTGTGCGACCCACCGGGCTCTGAACTCCCCCAGGCGTGCCACCCACCAGCCAAAGTAAGCCCCCGATGTTGGTCATGACCATCTGGTCTGTGGGATGGTCACTTCTCCCATCTCAGAGGGGGCCTGGCCCTCAGGTACTTGCGAGAAACTGGTGAGTAGAGGGGTGTAAATTTTCCTTGGAGTTTGGGGTCCTGTAGCCTTGAGGGGTGGCCACCGGCATGAAATCAGTCCCCAGCCCCCTGACCTCCTCCAAGGTGTGACTCAAAGCCCCAACCCTCTGTGGGCAATGCCTGTGGCTCAGTGAGTAGGGCCCAGCCCCCCAGCCAAATTGCAACAGCAAAAAAATAACTGGGTCTCCCCAGCTACTCGGGAGGCTGAAGCAAGAGAATGCCTAAGGCCAAGAGCTGGAGGTTGCTGTGAGCTGTGACACTATGGCACTCTACTGAGGGCACTAGACTAAGACACTTGTCTCTTAAAAAAAAAAAAGCCCCAATCCTCTAACTATGTAATTTGTCCTTCCGGAATGGTTCCTTCCTGAGTCATCCACAGAGGTCACCTCCCAGGGCCTAGGACAAAAGCCAGGCGCTCTCTGGGTGAAGGTGACTCTGACTGCACAGCAGGGAAGAAACCCAATCTCAGGCTGGAGACCATCTTTAAGGGATCCTACCCAGCTTGGGAGCGAGCAGCAAAGCAGGTCCCACTTTGCACTCACGGTGCTCCAAGAAGGGAGGGGCTGGAGGCAGCCGCCTTTAAGAGTGATGCTGTCTGGCTGCACAAGGCCTGAGCGGTTTCCTGGTCTGGTGAGGCATCCCCGGACTTTTGAGGTGCCGTGGCTGAGTTATGAGTAATCTGAGCCACAGACACACGGAGCTGTTGACCGACTGGATCAGGGTTGGGGGTCGTTCTGTGCCATCACACTCTGCCCCTGTCATGCGGCTTGGCACTCCACACTCCTGGGAGAAATGTCGGCAGCCCTTCTCTAGATGAGAGTGCTGAGGTGGGGGCTGCTCTGAGCAGCACAGGGAGGGGGTACAGGCAGGACTCCAGCCACAATCATGTGCCCCAAATCCAGAGATGCCCTCCACCACCCTGCCTCCCAGCCAGCTGCACCCCAGGGTCTAGCCAGGACACCCTGACCCTACCTCCCCTGTCCTTGGACTGTGTGGCCAGGCTGTGCATGGTAGGGCAGACCTAAAGGCCCCCCTCTTGTCCCGCAGTGCCAGATGGTGACAGGATGATGCTGGGGAGATGCCGCCTTAGCCATCTAGGCCTGGGTGGGGCCAACAGCTTGGGGACAATGTCTGAGGACCACCCCCACCCCACCCACCGGAGGGTGCGTACTGGTGATCCCAAGGATCTGCTCGTAGGCCTCAAAGGTCAGCAGTGGTTGGGGCAGCTCTCGCAGGAAGGCCTTCAGGATCACAGCAGGGATGTGGATGTCCCCATAGTCATCAAAGTTCACGGGCTTCCCTGCACAAAAAACACAGCACAGCTGAGCTCTGGACTCTGGCCCAAGGCACAAAGGCTGGAGGAGAACTGGTGGTGAGACCCTGATGCTGGAGTCATGTGTCCCCTCGCCGGAAACCCCGGGTCATGCTTGGTGGAGGCTGGAAAGGTAGTCACAGTCTCTGCGGTGTGGTTATTTCCTGACTAGGACATGGGTTCCCAGGTCCAGCTTTGGCTGTTACTGTCTCAGTGACCAGCATGGACAACAGTGGCCCGCAGGCCTGGGACGGGACAGCTGACAGCTCCCCCCACTCAGGCTGGATGGGGACACATGATCCATGCAGGATCGTCAGCCAGGCACAGCTCATTAGCCAGGCTCTGTTAGCGTCAGAGCTATGTGTCCTCAGCTCAGGGCCAGTGTGTAGGCAGAGGCCCCACTCTGGATGACAGGGTGCTCCCAGTGGCTCCTAGGCAGCTGAGCCTTCCCCAGAGGGTGTGGCAGGTTGGGGTCAGGGGCTAAGCTGCCTCTGAGGAGGGGGCCAGGTGGGAGGCTCAGGGTGGGGGGCTCTGAGGGCCATGCTCACCTTGGTTGAAAAGCTTCTGGATCTCACGGACCATCTGGACGCTGGCCGATCTCCGGAACAGGCCCTCAGCTCGGAGTCCTGCAGGGAGAAGAGCCTCCAGGCGTCTCACGGGTTCTAGCACATTGGGCTTCCAGAATGTTCTGTGACTTCCTCTGCCCACACCCTGGCCCTCCTGTGGCAGGAGGGCATGCTGTCCTGCCCAGTGAGGTCTCCCCATCCCTCACTCCCACCTTCACCCCTCAGATCCCCGTGTTCTGCAGCTTGGAAAGGGGCTCTGCCTCCCACCAGCTTTGTGACCTCAGAGAAAGCACTCAGCCTCTCTGAGCCCAGCTGCCTCATCTGTCTACAGAGTAAGGCCAAGGGCTCTGTCTCCAAGGGCTGCAGAGAGGACTGGTCAGTGCCTGGCACCCAGGAGCCACACACATGCCACTTCCCACAAGAACTAAACTATCCAGTGCCATAGCCACCAGCTGCAGGTGGGGATTTAAGTTTGACTTTAATTAAAATGAAAATGAAAAATCCATCCAGGCAATCACACAAGCCACATATGAAGGGCTCTATTGGGCCACTGCCACAGGGGGTAGCGGGATGGAGAAGAATCCCAAGTTCTGCTGGACACCATTGATGAGAGTTGATTGTATCAAAGCAGAAATTTGCTTCAGTTGGCAGTTTACAAAGGGGATTTTCAGCTCTTACAACTGGCTCATGAAAGTGGCTCATAAGTCTCTTCATTTTTTAAGCCAGGGTGGGGGGTGTTTGTCCCTCCCTGGCTGACTCTCTTCCATCCTCTTAAGCAGGCATCCTCAAGCTGCCGCCCACCTAGGACATTTATCTGGCTTGCCAGGTGTTTTTGCCGCCGCTGCCTGTCCTGCTTAGCAGCCGACTTGTCCTAGGGCCCGCAGTCCGGCCCTCCAATGGTCTGAGGGACAGTGAACTGGCCTTCTATTTAAAAAGTTTGAGGACCCCTGCTCTTAGGGCTCAGTTCAGCCATCACAGGCAGAATTCTGAGGTGATTCCCAGATCCCTGGCCCCTGGGGGACCAGAGGACCCACCACTTGGAGTTTCCCAGGTATTCAGGCACTAACCTAGGTACTGTAGAGAAGGGGATCTATAGACAGAGTTCAGGTCTAAGCCAGGGACCTTAAGATACAGAGGTAACCTTGGGTGGACCTGACCTAATCAGGAGCTTTCAAAGGTTCTTCCAGGGGACAGAGATTCCCAGCACAGGGCAGGGTTCCCGCAAGCAGTGCTGTTGGTGGGTGGGACTCAGAGCCTCTGGCTGCTAGCTGAGGCCCCTAGCTGGCATCCATGGAGAAGCAGGGACCTCAAAACTACATCAGCAGGCCGGGTGCAGTGGCTCATAAGGCAAGTAGTCTGCTTGAGCTCAAGAGTTCAAGACAAGCCTGAGCAAAGGTGAGACCTTGTCTCTACAAAAATAGAAAAAATAGCTGGGCATAGTGGTGGGTGCTTATAGTAGCAGCTACTTGGGAGGCTGAGGCAGGAGGATCACCTGAGCCAAAGAGATTGAAATTGCTGTGAGTTGTGATGCCATGACACTCTACCCAGGGCATAGAGTGAGATTTTGAAAAAAACAAAACTGTAACAGCAAAGAGCAGGATTGGCCAGCGATCTGAAGACATAGACTCGTCTCCTGGTGACAAGAGTGTGAACTCCCAGAGGGCAGGGACAGTGAGGATCCCTGTGAATACATGTCTAATTCATGTATGCATTCAACAAATACTAGGTTCCTACAGTGGACTGTGGACTGTATTACTTATTTTGAGATAGTCTTAGGCTGTCACCCTGTGTAGAGTGCCACGGTGTCATAACTCACAGCAACCTCAAACTTCTGGGTTCCAGCAATGCTCTTGCCTCAGCCTCCTGAGTAGCTGGGACTATAGGCCCTGCCCCACCACCACCAGATCCAGCTTGTTTTTCTATTTTGAGTAGAGATGGGGTCTCATTCTTGCTCAGGCTGGTCTCACACTCTTGAGCTAAAGCAATCCACCTGTCTTGGCCTCCTAGAGTGCTGGGATTACAGGTGTGAGCCACTGTGCCAGCCTATTTTTTTAAATAATAAATTGTGTCAAAAAAGAGAGATTCCTTTTCACAATTTCTGATATCTGGTCATTAGGCACTATCTGAAATACGGAATGAGAAATCCTTCCCCTCCTGTCTGGTTTAAGTAGAAACAGTTCAAAAACAATCACAGATCTCCCAGGCTGAGAGAACATTTCATGATCAGAACACACCATCCCGGGCAGCTCCTGTGGCTCAGAGGAATGGGGTGCTGGCCCCATATGCTGGAGGTGGCGGGTTCAAACCCAGCCTCGCCAAAAAATAAAAACTGCAAAAATAAATAAATAAATATAAAATAAACAAAAGAACACACCATCCCCAGGGCACATGGGTATCAGATCATAGGGCCCCAGTCAGAGGCCCACACATCCCCTCTGCAGCGTCCTGGCTAGAGGTCACCTCCCTGGGAACCATCTTCCTCCCATGAGAGTAAAAGCAGCCTCCATGCACCTTCCCTGTGGACCTAAGTTCCGACCTCAGGAATCTTGGAGAGGCCACAAAGCTTACCCTTTCCAAGTCCCTGACCTCGCCGTCCCCATTGGCATCTACAAAGCCAAGTTCATCATGCCAGAGTTGCGACCACTAAGGAGGGCTCCCTGCAGACACGCACTGTGTGACGTGCTTCACTCACATCGTCTCACAGGCCTCAGAAGCTCTGTTATTAACCCCACTGGACAGATAAGTGAAGGGGGAGTGGAGAGGGTAGGAACTGGCCAAGGTCACACAGCTAGCACATGGTGGACCCAGGATGCAAACCCAGAGTCCAGACCTGGTGCCTCAGTGCTCAAGCCCTCTCCCTTCCTGGTCACACCCCCGGACAGGACCGAGCTCCTCCGAGTCCCTGACCCGTGGGGCACCCAGGATCCGAGACAGACCTCCCTGGGAGGAGCATCAGCAGCCGTCGTGCCTCCTGGCTGGAGCCGACTTGCTGTCTCACCTTTCTCTGTCAGGTAAGTCACTGTGGATCTCAGCACAGGAGGGATGAGTTCTCCATCATTTTTGTCTTTGAGGCTGAGAGAGAAGAGAAAGCAACAGTTTTTACCTGGGCGTGGGGAGCATGATCAGCAAAGGCTCTGGCCCCCTCTGTACTCCAGTGGAGAGAAAGGACCAAGGAGCAGTTCAGGGTGACAGAGATGTAGCCTTGGCCCTCAGGAAGTAGGAAATCTGTGGGCCAAAAGAGAGGCCAAAATAATAAAAAGGATAGCACAGCATCTGAGAACTCCATCAGTGGGCTACACGTTATGCAGGGAAGACCAGGGGCTGGGGAGGGCCTTAGAGCTGGGTTTTGAGGGATGAGTAGGAGTCTGCCAGAGACTAAAAAGAGAAGGACGTTCCTAACATGGACATGCACAGGGCAAGGGTCAGGGTTTGGCTGTCAGAACGGAACCTGGAGCTCTGGATTGGACACTGATTCAATTAGAAAACATACTTGACAAAAACCCAGTATGTTACCTCAGACGGGCTAACACCCTGCCGCTTACTGTGCTATTTTGAGAAAGAAATTCATATAAAGAAAGGCAGTTCTACTTCACAGGTTTTTCTCTTTCCTCCTCTGCTGAATTTTCTCTAGAGCATATTTGAGAGGAAACAAGGCTCTGAAGTCAGACACCTGGTTTAAATCCTGTTCTGCCACGTTCTGGCTGAAGAGATTTTTAGGGAGAATCTGAAACAGTCTTTGGCCTACGGCTAATTTAGCGCCACCAGGAAGGGGCATCCCCTTCTGAGGGCTCCATCCTATGCCTCGGCGGTTATGAAGTCTTTCCACTCTAGCCGGGGGGGGGGGATGGCTTAGCCTTCCCAGCCCTGGGCAAGCCCTGGAAACTTTTCATGTCTTCTCCCGTGTGAATAGTGAGGTCAGTGCTCAGCCAAACTCTTGCGGGGACCTTCCGCAGACCTCAGAGTTCCATCTTCATGCAGTCCCTCCTCTCTGGAGCTCTGCCTCACAGATGCTAGCCACTGTGGCCTCCGAACTTCGTGGCCTCAGCTCTGTGAGACTGCTGGGGTCTGCGAGGCGGCTTCTCTGCTCTGCGCTTTAATGTTATCCTGAGGTTTACAGAGGAATCAAACACTTGGACCATGTAAACGGCTAAGACTTCACAAGCAGCAGCGACAAGGCCATGACACGTCCTGATCTCAGAGTGTCATCTGGCTCCACAGTGGTTTCTCTTTTGCTATGAACTCATCTTCAGGGTGCTGAGCAACAGTCCAGTTCCCCAAAGTACCAGGAGGTCCAGCGCTGCCCGCGGGAGGTCCTGTGGCTGCAGGAATGTGGACTCCCCTGCCCTACTCCCTCCACAACTTGAGGGGGGTGGCCTGGGGCCCAAGCAGAGGGTATCCCTGGGGCGGGGGAGTGTGGCAGACCAATCTCCCAGAATTCCCCAAAGCTGTGGGCTCTTTGCCTCTTCTCTGCCTCCCCCAAAGCCAGGAAGACCTGCCCTAGTCCCAGCCCTGCCTGCCCACCCTAGGAGCTGGGTCACCTCATCCTCTCCAGCCTCAGTTTCTCCATTTGGAAAGTAGAGATGCCAGTGACCTCTCTCTCCAGGCTCTGCAGATATTAGCAATGAGGAATGTAAAGGCTTTGTTAGGTCACACGCTAATGAGCGGTACAGATGATTATAATAAACTCATTTCAGCTGGTGCTAAACAACCTTCCCCAGCCAGGTACAGGGGTGGGGGGCATCCATTCCACAGATGTAAAACAGACCCAGCTGGGCTTCAAGAACTAGCCCAGGGTCACACAGCAGGAGCCCCTGGGAAGTGACTGGTCCTGGAGAGACCCACCTGAGGGCCAATGAGCCTCTGGGCTAGGACCGGCTGCTAAGGTCCTTTGGCCTACTTCTCAGTCTTGTTTTGTTTTTCAAAAGCAGAATTTCAGGGCAGGAGGCCTTTCAAATCAGGGAGCCCACCCTCCCTGCCTTCTCCACAGGCAGAGGAGAAAACCCAGGTCCTAAAAGGGCCCCGCCCAGAGCCACAGCGCTCCCAGCCAAGCACAAGCTAGTTCCCCGCCTGTGCATTTTAAGAACACCTGCCTCTCACTGGTGCCTCCTGTGCCAGCCAGAGAATGGGGCCCCTGGCGTGAAATTGCTGTTCTTCAGAGAGCAGAAACCCACAATTTGGATTTCTCCTCCCCTGCCCATCCCCTACTCGCTGGCTTGGAGAGAGTCAGTGCAGAGAATAACAATTACCGGGAAACTCAGGATGCAGATGTGTGTGTTTCCTGGCTGGAGGGGTGGGGGGTGGGGATGTCCTGGGCAGTGGAGAATTCTATCACACTCCACTGCTGCCCTGAAAATGTGTACAAGTCAGGGTCAGGTCTCAGCAAGGACGCAGGGACTGTATTAAACTCACACTCTGAACTAAAGCTCCAAGGTACACCCTGGGAGGGAGGCACTTGGGCCCCGAGCGTGCTCTGTTGTCAGCATGTACTCTGTGGCCAGGGGGTCCCACCTGGCTCTTGGACAGCCCTCCGCCTGTCTGAGGCACTGGGGATTTTGTCAGCATATAATTCTTGTACCCCTCCCTTGGGAGATGGGCTTAGAGTAACTCAGAGCACGTCCTTTCCCTAGGTTTGCATGCGAGGAATACACAAATAAGGAGGGATTCTGGCTTTTTAAAAACAGCAGGGATGGGAGGGAGGAATGGCAATGGAATTACAGCAAGGATGGGGAGCGCTGGGGCACCCAGGCCTTCCCGGGCGCTGAGATGGGCAGGCACCTTCTGAACACCACACACCCCTCCCAAATTCTGAATGGGGAGACTGCAGCTTGCATCACTGACTTGCAAAGTTCTCAGCCAGTCAGCCAGCGAGGTCCTAGGCACTGACAGAACAGGGCAGTGCATGTGAACGATCACAGTGACGACTGTGCACTGGGGCCTACTGTGTGCCACAGATACTGCGCCCGGTCACTGCATCATCGTGCGCCTGTTTATAGAGGATAAAACTGAGGCTCAGAAAGGCAAATTATTTTATTTGGAGCCACACAGTTTAGGGTTTCAAATTTAAATGTGACTCTGAAGTCCTTTTTGTACTTAGTTTCAAAAGGAACAGACCAAAACCCTGTACTGTGAGTTGGGGGGGTTGGTGTGAGGCCAGGGGTGCTGGGAGGTGACAGGTGGCAACAAGGATTCAGAGCGCTGCAGTGCTCTACTGGCATGGCTGGCCCTCCTGAGAGGCAGGTGGGCAGTAAGAAACTGCTTGGTATCACCACTAGGGACTGCCCCAAAGCTCTACGAGGGTAGAGGTCCTGGCAAGTGAGGCTGGGACACAGCTCTTAACCAGAGCCCCAGGAAGGCCAGGTCCCCACCCAGAGGCTAATTGGGAAGAGCAGGATCGAAAAACCTGGCTCACTGACAGCCATGTGGTCCCAGAGGCCAGAGACGAGCTGGTCCCAAGCACAGAGAAAACCAGACTTGAAAGGCAGTCATCATTTTCTCTTCCCCGGTCCAGACAAATCCTGGGCTCTGGAAAACACCAGAAGGTGAGAGGGCTGCACAGTCCTGTGTGCTAATAAGCAGTTGATCCCCTACACAGGCACAGAGCAGTGAATGATGGAGTCCTGCTCCCTTCTCCCTGCAGGGCAAGTTGGCCACCAGAGGCAAAGCTCTGGGGAAAGCATCCCTGGACACAGAAGCGCCCCATAACTCCAGGGAAAGGCACAGGCCCTGTCCCGGTGCACTTACTATTGCAGGCTGACTCCAAACTGCTGGGTGGGCAGTGGTGGCCTCGGCGGTGGTGTCTTGATAGAGAGTGGTGGCCGACCCTGGTGCAGGCTCTGCAGCTTCTCATCATACCTGTGGACACAGCAGGAGCTCGACTCTCACCTGGCAGAGGACCCTCAAGCCACAGAGGCCCCTTCTAGGTGCTGGTGGGGACCGGGTGTCTCCCAGACATCTGTGGGACACCTGAGCGTCTCATCACCACTGGGTCACTCGCACACACACAAACATTCACATCCCTTCACATCCGAGGCTGTGGGGTATTCACACAAAAGGCAGGACACACACCCTCAACCCCTGTCAAATGCCCAATCTCTCCTGCCAACCACTGGCCACAGCGGCCCCACGCTGACCAGCAAAGCAGGCAGCCATCACCTGGTCTCCTGAGTTACTACTTTATGCTGAGAGCTGTCTCACAAGGCTGAAGGGACCCTGGCTCTTTTGCTCATCACCGCATCCCTGGCACTAGAACAGGGCTTGCTACATAGTAGGTGATCAGGTCATGTATCTGTTGACCGAGTGAATAGAACCGGGATTGACCAGGTGAATGTGAGGAGGATGAACTCTGAAGGGGCAGCTCAGCGCCCGCAGGTGAACAAAGGTTCGCACAGCATTTGGCAATTTCCCAGATACTGTATGTCCTCCCAGTTTTCCTTCCTTCTGGCAAGTGTGTACTGAGGCCCCATTGTGTGCCAGGCACTGTGGATGCAGTAGTGACCCAGCCATGGCACGGCGGGGAACGCGCTGATGTGAGCCAGCAGCTCACAAGCAGGGCAGTCGTGACACCAGCCGTGCCGTGGGAACACAGATGCAGTCAAGTGGGCTGGCTGGGACGTAGGGAAGGCCACAGAGAGGGCACTCCCAGCCAAGCCAAGTGGGATTCTTACGTCCACCTTATAGATCAGGAAACTGCAGCTTGTCAGAGTCTGGTGTCGTGCCCCAGGTAACAAGCTGGGACTACAGCCTGGATTCAGGACCTGAAGCCCCTGCCCTGCCTCGATCCTAGTGGGTCTCAGACTCTGGTGCTCACAGCACCCAGCTAGGGAGCATATCGTGGGGGGAGGTCTAGATTCGTGGCACCCCAAGTGTCAGGATTCACTGTGTCCTCTGATTCTGCTGCGGGATCCATGGTGCACCCCCAGAGGCCCTGCTGTTGGCTGAGTTCAGAAGCTCCCACTAATGCCCAACCCACGCCCCTCTCCTAACCTCACCCCCAACACCCAGGACCCTGCACCCTTGGTGTCACCGCCACCCACATATTCCAGAGGCCCCAGACTGCACACGGTGATGCCACCCACTTCATCCTCAAACCCAGATTTCTTATCTCTTTCCCATGAAAGAGGCTGCCCCTGGCCACCCTAGTGCTGCCTGGGTTCTTGCCAAAGCCCACGGCAGACCGGGGTTCCCTTGTCATCCTCCTATGGCCTCTGGGCCTAGGCCACACTCCTCTGCTGGGCTCTGGGAACTCCATGGCCCAAGGTGACCTCCAGCTTCATGTCCCCCACCCTCTGCCTGATCACGTGGGCTGCCTTACAACTTCCAAAAGTTCACTCATACTTTCCCCACAAATGTTTGCAATGAGGGCTCCCCTCTGCGGGAAGTGTCCTCCCCCGGCCTCCTGATCTAGCCAAGTGACCCTTTGAAACTCACTTTTAGTCACCTCCTCCTGGAAGCCTTCCCAGATTCTACTACTTCCCCTCCACATGCCCCAGTCCTTTCCCCAGCTGGGTTCAGTGCCTCCTCTGGCTCCCACTAACATGAGTGTCCCGAGGGCAGGGACTGTTCTCCCTAGACATCTCTGTATCCCCAGCACCTGGCATGTGGCTCAGCATCCAAAGGCCACCAGCCTCCCCTGCACACACCTTGTTGAGGGGCCTGCTGCTTCAGAGAAGCCCCTAAGAGGGAGATGCCAAAGGGCAGAGGAAGACACCAAAAGGCAGAGGGAGTTGGGGTTGAGGGGTTGCAGCCGGGGGCAGGGGGGTGCTGACACGCCTTCCTGGGCTGCGCTGGGCCTGCCTGGTCCTGCTGCGTTTACGCCTCCTGGCAGACACGCCAATTACGCTTTCAGTACCCAGCAGGCAGGTTGTTTTCCAGAGCACCTGCCCGTCCCTGGGAACATTTCATTCTGTACATGGCATTATCTACACGCCCAAGAAATTCTCCTAATTCTCTGCTCAAAAGCAAAATTGGTGAATGCTGAGACGCAGCGGTCACATGACAGACTATTTTTCAGATGAGGTTTGCAGGGATGGTAAGGAAAACCTCCAGTCCTGTACATGAGCTGCCCGGGCTCGATTCTCGGGGTCTATGGCCAGCCTCTTTCATGCAGATCGTTGCTGATGCCACAGATTTTTGAGCCAAATCCAGCCTAGCACACTGGGAAATTAGCCTTCCACATGAGTGGGAGTCCCTGAGGCCTCTGAGGCTGGATTTACCCCACACCTCCCGGGACGGGACCTCAGGGTACTCACCGCAGCACCTCGGGGGGGATCAGCAGCTGGTCGCATTTGAGGTGTTCCTGGAGCTCACTCAAGTAGTTGAAGTAGGTGACTTTTTTCCCAAACTTGTGACTAAGAAAACAGAAGCAAGAGAACAACCAAAAAAAAAAAAAAAAAAAAGGCCAATTAAGTGGTAGCAGAGAGATGGGGGCTGCAGGGAGGAGGAGATGTCGGCAACTGCTACCTGAGGACTAATGTGGGCATTTCTCTTATTAGGAAAAGGTAGATACTGACACAAGTGAAACCTGAAATGACAGCAATAGCACATGGCAGATCTTTGACACACAGAACACTCTGGAGTCTCATCTGCATGAAAACAAACATCTCCCTCCAATTTGAATGTGGCCTGAATTTGCCCAGATGCAGGAGGTGGCAGCTGAGCTCCAGGGAGAAGGGCTCGGAGGATGAAGGCCCCAGCTCCCTGCAGCTGCACCACCTGTGGTCTTGGGGCCCGGTAATGGCTTCACATTTGGCCTTGTCACGCTTGGCCTGTGACAAGTGTCCTTGAGGGCAGGGACCAAAGACCCTCCAGGTTTGTCTCCACACAGTGTCTCTCTGGAGACCCAAAGAGTGCAAGCATAGCCACAAGGCCAGGCGAGCCCTGGCGGGATCTCGCAACTCTGTCTTCCCCCTCCTTGAACCTGGGACAGTTCCTGCCACCATTCAGGGCCTTGCTCCCCCATGAAATCCAGGGTCCTCCCTCCCAAGTGAGACTATATGCATGGACTGGTCCTCCGCCTGACACCTGGCAGACTGGTGACCAGTGACACTCCTGGAGACTGTCCTTGTTCTTGGTGAGGCTCAACACCAAAATGAGGGTCATGACTGGACAAGCGAGCGTGCAGCTGTCCAGAGCCATCCCCCATGGCCCTTCAGGGCCATCCGGGTTTCTGTTATGTTCTTAGACTGGCATTATTTCCTCATTATATCTATTTAAAGTGTACAACTATTAATGTGGGTAAAAAATTGTATGTTTACCAGAGAAGGAAGGTTACATATTCAGCAAAACCAAAGATATTTTATGTTACTTTTATGACAATTTGCAAGTCTTAATATAAGTATTCACATGTTTTCAGTGTTGCTTGCATTGTCAAATTAAAATAATCCAAATTACTTTTGCAAAAACAAAAATGCAGTTAGGAGGATCAAATGGGGCAGCGGAAGTAAAACACTTGACCCAGCACCAGCCCCCTAGCCCCAGGAGTCCCTCCCTGGGCGAGTTTTATGAGGGACCAGCACCAGGACCCCAAGGAAGCTGCCGTGCACACGGGCTCCTCCTAGTGGACGAGGGTTGATGCAGCCCCGGGACCTGGACCCACAGTCACCCACCCAGTGGCTTTCACCAGTCTCTACCCTTCTAGGACTAAACCAAGAAAGCACCTGGGCTGAGGCTGAGGCTGCAGGAGCCACCAGTGTGGTGTACCCTTCACTCAAGGGACAAGTGGAGGGAGAAGGGCCTGCCTAAGCTCTAGGACTCCTGGCCCCTCAGGGAACAGGCTAGTTAGGGTCCTGCAGGGATGTCTCCCTCCCCCACCTGCTCATTTGGGATGGTCTGGCCTTCACCCCAAGGGAGCCAGATCTTCTCTCAGGGCTGCCAATGTCCACGTGATGGGCAAGAGGAGCCCAAGAAGCCTTGCCATTCTGCAGGGACTCTCCATGGGCACAGAAGCACAGCTCAGACTCGCCTGAGGCCTCAGATGCCTCCTATCCACACAGGAGCCCCCTCGCTGTTCCCTCTGCAGTCTGTCCAGCCTCCCCACCCCCAGCATGCTGGGCTCTTGGGGCAGAGGCAGGCAGGGCCCTCAGCTTCCCTCTCCCATCCAGGGAAGGGCGTTGGGACCAGTTCACCTGGGGGTCCCATCGCAGTGTGCAGCAGAGTCACTGCCCTGCCTGCAGGGCAGAGCCAGGAGATCTGGGCTGGTCCCAAGGGCTCTCCTTTGTGTGGGCACTGGAGAAGGGCAGAGCTCTTCCTCTTTCTCCATTTTGGTATGAAGACTCCTGGGCTCAGAGAGATCACATGGCTGCCTGAGGCCACACAGCCAACAGGCAACAGAGCTGAGTCCAGGTTCAGAGCCCCTGACTCGGATTCCTTTGGTACCATCCTAGCACCTGCTGTGTCCAGGCCTGAGGTAGGATGAGGGTGGAGCCACACAGGTTCAAGTCAGAATCTCAGCTCAGGTCCTTACTGGCTACATGACCTGGGCTAAGCTGCTTAACCTCTTAGAGCTTCTTTGAAAGAGGGAAAATGTGATTGACTTCATAGGATTGTTTTGGGGTACCTGACACATAAGATATAATAATCTAATTGATCACAAAAGGATAACAAGAAAAATTTTTAAAGACAATACTAGCAGCTAATTTTGAGCATTTTCCAGTGCCTGGCAGGCCCTGTTCTAAATCCTCTCCAGTGTTAAGTCAGCGAATGGGGAAACTGAGGCAGAGTGGAGTTGCCTGTCTTGCCCAGGCAATGATGGTTAGGGGCAGAGCAGGTCCCCGAGGGAGCCGGCTCCAGAGCCCCCACATCATCCGGACTGCCATGTGGCAAATGGAACAGCAAGAGCAGGTGAATTTTTTCTAAGAAAATCTTTAGTAGAGATTTCCAGGACTCTAAGAGCTGATCTAGTGTGAGTGACTGACAGGCACATATGATACCAGGGTGTTAGTCCTGGTTACACATAACTCAACACCCCACCCCCCAATAGGTGTGCAATGTTGGCAAGTAGGGAGGGAATTCTAGTAAAACGAAATGCACTCATTGGCCATAAAACTCTCCCCTTAGACACATGGGTGCTGTCTCCAGCTGCGGCTTCAGGATCTCTCCCAGGGGAGCCTCTCGGGGGCTCCTCTCGGGGGGTCCCATCTCTGAAATGAAGGTATTGGCAGCGGTAGGGAAGGAAAGGCTCGGACACACCTCACAGAGCGGCTCCGGATCACCCCAGGGACTGACGTTTGCCAACATGCCCGAGTGCCAGGTACAGTGACAGACCCAGAGGCAGGGCGAGGTGGCCACTCAGACTTAGGGAGGTGGTGGGGGGTGGGGTGGGGAGACAGGCAGGTGCTGAATCCTGAGCTCCCCACACGCAGAGTACCACACTCACCTCCCCTCAGGTGGCTGTGGGGCTGAGGAAGAGAAGTGTGCCGGCAATGGCCTCAGAGCCACTGTGCTCAAGTGCTCCTCCCCAGGGAACCCTCCCAGGGCCCTCCGGCCCCCCTCACAGAGGTGACCTCCTCATCTGAGAATCTGAACTTCCTGCACGCACACCTGGGCACATCTGGACTTAGCCGCCACGCAGGCACCACCTGACCGTGCAGCTAGGTGCACACAGTGCCTGAAGCACAAGGCCAAGGAGGAAGGAAAGAAAAGGTGTCAGGGTGACGGTGGCAGAGCCTCTGAGGCCTCCCCGTCCCCTTGAGGCAGAAATTGTCCAGCAGGAAAGACCTAAACGTAGAGGAAGCTAGCTGAGGTCTCCACTTTTGGGGGCTGTGGCTTCGTCTCTTTAGACCATTTACTTGGGTGGCTGTGCAGTGAAGGGTTAACTCAGCATCACGGGTGTCCACACCACCACATTTCCAAGGGGGGTCCAGCCTCCACCTGCTCCTGGACGGAGCCTCTCAGCCCTTGGACACCTTGAGACTGTGCTCATACACACTTGAGGCCACGGCCACACGATAATTTATGTCACCAGTGTGACGAGTGTGGGACCTCAGGCTGTACAGGATAGGAGAGGCTGGAGACGGAGCTGCTGAGGTCAGCTGTTAGGTGCTCCATGCCTGTGTGACTGACCCCCAGTAGAAACCCCAGACAGGAGGGTCAGGTGAGCCTAGCTTCTCTGCTGCACAGGCACTGCTGCTGGGGACTCCAGTACTGTCTGTGGGACCCCGGGAGGGGGCAGCTGGATGCCCGGCCTATACTCTGAGCTCTGCCCAAATGTACCTTTTACCTCTGATGAGTGTAGCCTGTGTCATTTCTCTGGGACAGACCCCAACAGTGAGAAAAACAGCTTTTCTGAGCCCTGTGCATCCTTCTAACATAATGCGGGTGACTGTGTTCTGTGGGTGCTCAGGCCAAGGGGGGGGACCTTAAAAGCCACATGCAAACCTCACAGGTGTCTGGGGCCGGTGCTCTCATTAAGGACCCTCAGTAGGTCATGGTGTGTGACCCAGGCAGCCTGTGAACCACAGCAGACCCTCAGACCCTCAGGGTGGGGCGTGCCAGGACACACAGACACCCCTGAGACAGGATCTCCTGGAACTTGGACAGGTCCCACTGACACTGTGGACCAAGAGTCCCACCCCAACAAGGTCCTGACCCAGAATAACTGTACCTGATGAGGGGCTTGAAGATGTTCCACAGGACCTTGATGAAGCTGCTGGGGTGGACCACGTAGAGGGCCTTCAAGTTTTTCTTGTATCTGAGAAGGGAATGCGAGTGGATTTGGGCCACTAGACTGGGAGATTCACCTCAACCTGGGTCTCCACAGAGCAGTCGCCTCAAATGGGAGTCTCAGGATATTTCCTTTCTCCTCAGGGTCAATTTAAGGGATTTAAACAAAAACTAGGAACAGTTCAAAAAACCCAGGCCCCTTGCCCACCACCACTTTACGCTCTGCAGTGCACACAAGTATATACATCATATCCACCTGGGGGACACCCATTCAAAGGCGGCTACTGTCCATCTCTTCCTGACTCTTTCTAGTGACATCACAACAGTAGCTTCAAACTGGCCAGGTGGTAGGATTTACACCCACAGAAATATGCAAATGTTTTAGGCCACCCCCATGCCACCTGAGAGCTGGTTGCTAACACAGCACACCACCCAGCCAGGGTGAGCACAAAGGTGAGGAGTGACAGAGGCTTGGTGAGACACGCTCTGCCCAGACGGCACAGGAGGGGCGTGGACCGCAGCCCAAGTGGAGCAGCCCAACAGGCATGCACGCTGGACAGGGAAGGAGTCACACCATGGAGAAGGGGGTCACAGAGAGGGTGAGCCTGTGGCATGGGGACGGACGGGCATCGGCGTGGACTCAGCCCCCTACGTGGAGGGGAGAAGGACAGGTGGAAACGTGCAGGCTAATGTGATGGGTGTCTAATGAACGGGTGTCAGAAGCCGCAGACACTCCTGCAGTCTCGATCTCAGCCCACTGAAAGGAGCCAGGGCTCCCTGGAAAGTAGTGGATTCCTGAGCTGGGACAAGAAAAATGTAAGATGAGCTCAGAGCACCTTGTGCCAAAAAGCAGAGGAAATGCTTGGGGAGCAAAGGGGACACGTCAACGCACAAGCCTGCAGGGATGCCACGAGGGCAAATTTGGACAATGTGATCATTCAAATAATGATAGTAATGGATTATAAACTACTGGATAAAATAGGAAGTCACATGCCCATATTGATTGATATACATGGGCAAGGAGAGGAGCAGCTCTCACCTACAGTAAGATGCCCACAATAACTGAAATCACCATTTGGTGGCCCTCGTAGAAATAATTAAGCAAAGAAACAGCAGAAAAGGTTAAAACTAGCTCGTACAATTTTGATTAAGAGCAGGATATTTATATAGTCTCAAAGTATCTCTCCAAGAAATGCTACTTAATTCTTTTTAAAAAGGCTCTCAGTGCAGGGCAGAGGGAGGCCGGCAGGCACTTCCAGTTGTCCGAGAGCCCTGAAGGCAGCTGCCATGAAGTCCACGCTGAGACTGAGGTGCAGGTGGCTTTCACTGGGTGCCACCCGAGGCAGGAGCCCCTCCTGGAAGAGGGTCATGAACACTTGTGTGTGAACTAGTTTACCTTCAAAAGGAATGACCCAGCAGGATGGTCCAGAGGGTGAGAAGCCAACAGAGGAGAGAACAGGAAAGAAAAGACACCTGATGGGGGTAGCAGTGGCAGACTGAAAACCCGCACTGCACAAATCCCGTCTGATCAGACCTGGAGCTCCACTTGCATACCTCCAGTGACGGGGAACTCACCACCCCACAGACACTCCACTGTCGGGCGGCTTTGACACTGAGAGTATCCCTGCTTTTTGCTCCCACTGAGACAAAATCTGTAACCCTATTCCTACCTTCATCCCTATCCTCCTTGGGGACTGGGCGAGTCACAACAGAACAAGTCTGGCCCCTTCCAGTTGACAAGTCGAAGCCCACGCCCTTCCTCCCACCACTGCCTGGTCTCCGAGTCCCCTCAGGCCCAGTGTCCCTGTTACCTTTTGCCTTGGCCCTGTTGGCAACATCAATTCTAACTCCTCAGCTAAATTTTAGACACCTGCTGCTGGCACACCTTGCCTAAGTTTTAAGGACTTCTCTTGCTTCCTCCCAAAGGGAAGTTACCCATTACCAAACTGAAGCACCGCCAGCAGGCCCCTCCCACGCCCAAGAAAGGAAGGGTACCCACCAGGCTGAGCTTCTCTGGGCTGATTCTGGCAGCTGAGAAGTGGGGTGGTACCTGAGGGAATCTGGGTGCATCTTCACTTGCCACACGGGGAGAGCAAATGGCAAACCCTGACCTGCTCCAGGTCAAGAGAGGGCTCCTGTGCACCTCCTGGGCCAGGGGTTTTCCCTGACAGGGTCACATTAAACACGGCATGTGCTTCTCCTCCAGGACCTGTCACGGCTTCCCTACACCAAGCCCAGCATCCTTAGCACACCTCCCTCCTTTGCCACCTCCCTCCATAGCTCCCCACCTGAACCCTCCACCCCTCCCACTGTGCCGAAGCCCACATTGCTCTTTCTTGCATCTGGCCACTCCTTCAGAGATCACCACCTTACGACACCCTGCCCATCACTCTACAGAAAGCTCAAAGGCTACCTCCTTCATGCAGCCTCTTGGATTACCCAGATGGGAGCTTGCTACTTACTGCTGGCTCACTCCTCCTTCCTCCTAACCAACATTTACTGCAAATCTACCACATGCGGACCCTTTCCTATCCATGAGCGATTCAGAGATAGGCCAAGGGCCAGTCTGGTGCAAGAGGCAGACCCATCTATGGACGTGCAGGTACTAGGAGTGGCATCTGCTCAGGGACAGTGAGGCTACGGAGGAGCCAGCACCTCTTCCGGGCTGTTAATTCTGGGACAACCCAGAAGGGCTTCCTGGAAGAGAAAGGATTGAACTGGGGCTCAGGAGTCTCTGGCTCATTCAGATGTCTAATAAATGACTGCAAAATGCACCAACAGATCTTTCTCTAGGACATGAACAGGGAACCAAGAAATCCCTCCTACCGATAATGATAGCAAGACCCAAACAAGGGAGGACTCTGGGACAGTCAGGGTCTGCCTCCCACTGTCCCACCTGCTCAGATGTCTGTAAGGAAGACTTTGAAGGAGACCCAGAGGACTCTCGGATATCCACATTAATGCCCATGGTGCAGCCTTTCACACACACTGCCCAGTTGACAGTCACTCAGGACGCTCTCAGGAAAGATCGGCCATCTCCAGGCCACAGCTGAGTGGTGAGCAGCATGGGCTGGGAGAGGGAGGTGGGGCCTGGGGTGGGGCCTGCCCTGCTGTGCACAAGCTGAGTGACCAGGGAAAGTGACTTGCTCTCTGGGGCCTGTGTCCCTATCTACAAAATGGGGCTGCCTGCCTCACTGACACAAGGCACCAGTAAGCCCCTTGCTCTGATGACCATGCACTGTGTAAGCAGAAAGGGCTTTCAGTGAAGAAATCATCATGTGGTTGTTTCTTGACAACTATTCACTAGACGGGGGTGGCAGTGGGTATACAGGTCAAATCCAGCCTGCTGCTGGCTTCTATACAGCTTGGAAGCTGAAGACGGTTTTTATATTTTTAAGTAGTTGAAAAAAATCAAAAGAATACTATTTCAGTGGAGATGGTGGCTCATGCCTGTGATCCCAGCACTTTGTGGGGTCAGGTGGGAGGATTACTTGAGGCCAGGTGTTCAAGACCAGCCTGGGCAACACAGCAAGACCCCATCTCTACAAAAAATAAAAATCTTAGCTGGGTGTGCTGGCATACACCTGTAGTCGCAGCTACTCTGGAGGATCACTGAGCCCAGGAGTTACAGTGAGCTATAATGAGGCCACTGCATACCAGCCTGGGTGACAGAGTCAGATCCTGTCTCCAAAAAAAACCCCACAAAGACTACTATTTCACGACATGTGAAATTGACACAAAATTCACATTTCAACATTTATAAATAAAGTTTTACTGGAACATGGTCCCACAGAGTTTAGTCATTGCCACAGAACAGATGGCCTGAAAAGCTGAAGGGTTGACTGACCCTTTAAGAATGGTGCTGACCCCACTCTAGAGGAGAGGAGCTCCTGCACTTACCCCTCCCCCCAGCCCACCTGGGCCGTCCCCTACCTAGTGCCCCTAGTGGCCCAATGCCTCCTCCCACCACTGCATGCACCCCACCCCCATGTGGCCTGCCCGCCCTGTCCCCAGAGGCTCACAGACACACACTTCCTGTCAAACTCCTTGTACGCGCTCTGGAGCCAGCCCAGGGACGGCTTGTTCTGGCTGTTCAGACTGTAGTGGAAGTAGACAATGGTGTAGTCGTTCTCCACGTACTGGTCCAGGGTGTACTTCAAATATCTGGGGACAAGACACAAGATTCAGTTACGAAAATCACCCACTTATCATTGAAACCAAACATGCTTCCCTATAACAGAAGCTGTCATCACCAGTGGGTGATGCACTGGGCCATGCAGGGTAACAGCCGGGGCCACACACAGACTCTATATGCCAGGGTCCCACTCCTTGGTGGATGTCCGCTGAGGCTCAGAGGTGTTAAGTAACTTACCTGAGGTCACACGGCTGGCAAGTGGGTGTGGTAGCCTGAAACATGGCCCCTGAATAAATGCTTATATCAAATCTCTGGATCCTGCAAGTCTGACCTTATTAGGGTAAAAAGGTCTTTGCAGATTTAATTAAATTAAGAGCCTCGAGAGAAGAAGCTTATCCTGGATTATCCAGGTGGACCCTAAATGCAATCACATGTCTCTTTAAAGGACAGACATAAAGAGAAGTCACAGAGGGGAGGAGGCAGAGAGTGACACTGCCACTGGCCAGGAAGGCTGAGGCTCACCCTTGACCTCAGGAGGACTCCAGGTGAGAAAGTCTCCATCTGGAGGGAGCACAGCCCTGCTGACACCCTGATTGTGATTTCTAGTCTCCAGAATGTGAGAGAATAAATTCCTAGGCATTGTTATAGGAGCCCCCGGAAGCTGGCGCAGAGGGGGAGCTGGGATTTGACCCCAGGCCTCTCTGACAGCACAGCCTGTGCTGTCAAGCCCAATACCACAGGCCCTTCCCCTGATGCTCCCAGAACTGCCTCAGGAGAAAAGCCCAGCAGCCTCTGCCCACCTGCAGGTGCTCAGCCCACCTTGCACCCCCCAGCACAAAACCCTGCACAGAAGGACACTAGCATCTCCTTTTCTCATTTGATTTCTAAACAACAGAACTCCCTGTCAAGAGCCCAAACCATCTGAACTACAGGCCTTATATATATATATATATATTTTTTTTTTTTTTTTTTTGA